GGCATCGCCTGCAGCCGGAGCAGGGCGTGGGAACCCCCCTTGCCGGCATGCGGACAGGGTTTGTGCAGAAACATCTGGCAAACGTGGTGCTGGAGAACCAGCGACTGTTCTGCACCGCTCGACGGGCACACGCAGGCAGCAGGGTCTTGCCAGCCAGGAGCGGCCAAGTCTCAGCCTGTCTCTCAGAGAGGGAAGGAGCGCACCGGGCGAGGAGACCGGCTCCTTTCGCGCGACGTGGTCGGCTGAACCCCTGTTCCCCACTTTCCTCCTGCAAGGCTCAGCGTCTCCGATCAGAGGCGATTCTCCGGGCAACCTGCACTTCCCAGCCGGGGTATGCGTCCTCCGTGAGGAGCCGCAGTCTCTCCGAGGAGGGGGCCCAGCCCCACCATCGCTCCCTGGGCCAGCTCTCCAGCTCCTTCCCCAGACGCCTGGAGGGAGATTGGAAGGCAAATCCCTTACCTGTGGCATTGCTCAGTGGCGACGCGGGCTGCGGGAGGGCTTTCTCCTGCCAGGGGGCCGTGCTGCCCGTTTGCGAGTGAGATGAATCCCTGTTCTGCGGCGGCTCGTTCTCCACGTCCAGCGGCACCGATGTGGTCCCTTTGTTTGCAGGCTGCTGGCAAGGAGTTGTCCTTACTGGAGCATGCTGGGGTTTGGGAGCGGAAACAGCCTCGGCATTGTCTGGCCCTGCCCCGTTGTCAGTCAAGTGCTGCGCCGTGCTCTTGTTCCACTCCCGTTTGACAGACACGGCGTTGTCGACAAGCACCGTGCTACAGTCCGAATCCGTATCCATGACGTAGTCGTGCCCGTCCCCGCAGCCCCAGACGGCGCGGATGATGCCGCAGTACTCGGAGGAGAGCACGCTCCGCAGGCTGGGCACCGAGGGGCAGCTCCCGGCATGCGTGTGCGTCCACGTCACCAGGCTGTGCAGGCACTGCGGGCTGGAGGTGATCAGGTCGACTGCCAGGGGGGAGAGGCGGCACGTGCACAGTCAGCGCCCTGGGCCAGCAAAGGGCACAGCAGCCACAGGGAGGGTTGGGGAGGGTCCCACTCCCCCCCAGGGAGGGGACAGGGCTGCGGACCCGCTCCCCCCAAGGCTGCACTGGACCCCTGTGTCAGAAGGGAGGGCAGCTAGGAGCCACCCTGAAGGGGCTGCAGCCAGACAGACTGGGGCAGGAGCGGTCCCATCAACTGCCAGCATCCTTAATTTTACAGCTGAAGCTGTATTTCCAATTGCTCCCAGTGTCTGACAGTGGTTGGGACAGGCCTGGCACTGCCACCCAAACCCGCTCTGCCTGCTCTTCGCCCTCCTGACGCGAGCCTGTGCCCGTTCAGCTCAGCTCGAGGAGGTCGGTGCCGGTGAGGATCAGAGGGGCGAGCTCGCGGCGGAGGGCAAAGGGGAAACCGTAACCAGCCAGAGCGGGGCACAGCTGCACCAAGGGACGCAGGAACTGCCCTGCCAGGCGGTCGTTCCTCAGCACCCACAAAACCCAGCCCTTCATTGATGGTATCACAGAGAGAAAAAGGAAAACAGCTCCGAGAGCAGG